ATGTTTCTGGTTGTTAGGATTTGGAAACCCTAAGGGCCAAAGCTAGTCTTGATAACCAGGCGAAAGGTTGGTGAAAGGTTCGCGAAGATGTGGCGAAAGCAGTGGTTGCAGATTAGGAATGATTCCCCTTTCTGATATTTTAGATGCAAGTAGTAGCAGAAACTCGGCGAAAGGGTTAGCGAGAGAAGTTGTTGGGTGAGTGGGTCGGCGAGAGCAAAGCATGCAGCCGCGAAAGCATTGCGAAGGGATTGGCGAAAGGTTCTTATAATCTTAATAAAAGTTCCGGATGGTTTTTGACACCGCTCAAATTGAAATGCATACTTGGGAAACGGAGCAGTGTAAGAATTGTAGTTCTTGCAGGTTCTTGTTTGCTTGTTGGGTTGCGCCCTCATCCATGTAGAGACCATATCCAAAGTTATGCCTACATCGACTTTCCTAGCCTTTTCGTATAAGCCCCTCACCGAACCGAAGCCGTCCTCCACGTCGTAGTATATTATTTCCAATACCTTTTCTTTTTCCAATCTAGTCATTGAAAAATACTTACATTACAATTTTATGATACTTTATTGTATCATTAAAAACATTGTGAACTCAAACCAAGAACCTCTGGCACTGTTTGGTTTTCTTGTGTTTTGCCAAGTTTGACTCGCAGCTCATGGCACAGCCGCATATATCGCATACACACGGTTGTTTCGTTTTCTCTTGGTAATATCTTTGGAAATACGTTTCGTCCTTCGGTCTTCTGTTGTAATATCCGTCGTCCTGCTGTCCTGCTTTCTCCATTGGGTTTTTTGGGGTTTTTGGACTGATGAAATTGCTTCATAGCTTTCTTCCGATGAAAAACAGTTTCGCTGTCAGTCAGCTCTTTGTTTCCAAAACCGTTCCAAATAGAGTCAAAGGTTTCATTCGTCATCGGGATTTCAACTCCACTACTTACAAAGTAACAAGGCATATCGTTTATATATAGTTAGTTATATATCTTAATATTTGTTTAAATCTATTTATACTATGTAGTATCAATTTGTGCTTGTAGCACCTCATACAAGTCCCTAACACGAACCCCAAAACAGTTTCGACATCAAAGTTCATAGGTTTGAACATTTCACCCTTCCAATTTGCCATAGAGTTGCCTTAATTCTAGAGACACCGAGTCTTAAAACCTCAAAAACCCAAACCCCAACATGCTGAGCGTTCAAAACAATGAAACTTGAGCTTTGTCCCAAGCCAATCCAAAAACCGAGCCAATTCTCCCCAAACCGAGCCACTTTTTCACCAAAACGGAGCCACTTTGTCCCAAAGACGGAGCCTGCTTTTCCCAAAAACGGAGCCTGTTTTTCCCAAAAACGGAGCTTCACAACCCGGGCGGTGGCTGATTTTCCCAAAGTCTGTGGCAGATTTTCCTAAAGTCTGTGGCAGATCTTTCCCAAAGTCTGTGGCGGATTTCCCCAAAATCGGTGGCTGATTTTCCCAAAATCGGTGACGGATTTCCCCAAAATTGGTGACAGATTTCCGCAATTCGACGGATTTCGTGCCAAAGTGGGTGGCTGATTTTCTGCAAAATGGATGGTAGATTTTCCCGATTGGTGGCAGGTCTCCATGAAGCTTGGATGTGGATTGATTTGTGCCATGCTCGTGGCTTTTCTTCTGAGAGCAGGGTTTTGCAATCCTTTCCTGATGTGCGACCGAACAGCACAAACATCATTTGGTTGTATATATGTGTTTTACAAGATATAGATGATGTTTGACATAAAAATAGTTACAAAAATGTATATGCATCAACCTTGGTGTCATGCACATACATTATACTTGTCTAGACCTGCAATGTTCCCATGGCAAAACGCCGCTTCAAGATCTTTGCACTGGTTTTGTCCATTCTAGTTGGCAAGTTTTTCTTGGCTTTGATTGAGATACCACGAACGACGCAAGACAGATACAGGCGTCCAAGCAAGACTGCAAGGCCACTAGAGCCTCCTACTTGGGCAACATATTTGGACCCAATTGCCAGTGCTCTAGGGGTATCATTGACGGATATCGGCAAGCAAGTTTTGGATGCAAACAAGCATTATCGCCCGATTGAAGAGGTGAAACGATTGGAACGATTGGAAAATGTCAACGATGCCCACCAGCACGCCATACTCCTTGCAAAGAAACTGATGGATAGAGCCAAGACGTCACAGGAAGCCCGAAACATCATTGTGCCCAACATCTCATTGCCACTCATCCCCGTGAATGGCACAGAGTTTCAGCATTTGGTGACGAGTGTGCTATCCGATACGATCTCCACGGGAGTCTCTGCGATTCATGCGGAACCCGGCACGGGCAAGTCCGTTGCGGTAGCTTTAGCCATGCTGATGTGGGCAAAACACAGCCCAAAGTGCATCACTGTCTTGATACGAGGAAACCTGCAACTGCTCGAAGATTTCTTTAGAGTTAGTGTGGAAATGAATCCAGCACTGGCAGCAAACATCATAGCGCTCTTTTCTTGAGCCATCGCGAGAGCGAAAGTCGGGTGCAGTCTCTTCAAGCTGGTCAGGTCCATGAGCAATCCGGGTCAGTGCATGACATGTTCCTGGTTTCATCTTCGTTTTCACATTCGTCTTTCTTCTGACCTCGATCGCTCTTGGACCCTTGCAGCTCGATCTTCAAGGAAAGGCCATTCATGGCCGCTCGGACGTCGCTTGCGTCCATGTGCTTCGTGAGGGCGTCCGACAGCATCGTCTTCGTGCTGATCCACAGCACTCGGGTGCTGCCATCCTTCGGCGGCTGGTCGCTGAACAGCGGGTCGCCCACTTCCTCATGGCGTCGACGCCAGATCATCTGGCGCATCCCGCAAAGGTCGATTGCGAGTCTCTTGTCGTTAACCTCTCCGAGCCCTTGTTGTGTCAAGTGGTCGGACAGACTGCGACAGTCTGTCAGCTTGATCAGATCTGTCCCGTCCTGGGCTCTCATCCTCCAGTTGGGATCACCTTGATCGTGGCCATGATGTAGTCCATCCAGGATCATCCTCAGGTGTTCCCCGTCCTCATAGCCAGCCAGCATACTCAGGCTCTCAGCCTGAAGTGTGCTTCGACACACCCGTCGAATCACGGAGCTCTTCCATTCCAAGATGTGGATCGGGCCTCCACTCTTGGCAATGAAGTCTGGCCCACAGAAGGCCAGAATCCTCCCAGATTGGGAGCGAAAGCCAAGGCGCTGTCCAGTCGACGAGAGGTCATGGTCGTTGGCATGGCTCGCGTCGGTGATGGAGAGGATCTTGAGCTCTTCAAACTTGAAGGGGCGCCACACGTAGGTCAGCCGCTGATCCTTGCTGAGCATCGCCCTCCTGAGCAGTGAGTTGCAGTCCACCAAATCTTGGACACAGGGCTTCTGAACACAGCTTTGTAGTCGGCTGGTGTCGTAGGCCAGATCAGGCCGGTTGACACGCACAATCCAGTTCAAGGAGCCAAGAACACTCCTCATCTGAGATTGCTCCTTGTGAGTGGCTTCTCCTCCTCGGTTGGCTTTCCTAGCTGTTGACAGGGCAATCGGTGTAGTCCTTTCAAGACCATGCGGGCATGTGACATGGATGCCCTCGTCATCCTGTGAAATCATTCTGCCACAGAACTTGAAGGTGGTGTCGGCGGTACGGCCAAACTTCAGCTTCTTCTGGACGTTGTCCATGGCCTGCTGGGTGAGGTCTCCTCCACACCAGAGTAGGTCGTCCACATGACTGATCACCAGTCCATCCACAGAGCCGTCCGGCTTGTTCATCACATAGGCGGCATTCTCATGTGGAATGGGACGTAGTCCAAACTCCTTCATGGTGTTGTGGAGGCTCTTCCAAAATCCTCGTGGAGCATCCTTGGTGCCATAGACAGGCTTCCGTGCCACAAGCAGTGATCCGGGTGCCACTCCTGGTACACCATCTTTTGGTAGGCTCATGATGAGCATTCTGGAAAGTCCAAACCCTTGTAGGAACGCCGCAGTGATGTCTCCACTGTGTAGGCGTAGGCCATTGCAGCTGGCGAAGGACAAAACCATGCTCAGCATCAAGTGAGATGCTGTTGGAGAGTCAGTCCGAACTCCTCCTTGGTGTGCCTGGTTTTCAAGATCTCCACGTACAACCAGGCGGCTTTTCAGTTGTTCTTCTTCTCCTTCATCCGCCTTGTTGACATCTACCCATCGCATGGGTACCACTTGTGCTCGAGGGTGCTTCTTGCGGAAACGATCAGCATCTTGAGGTGGGATTACCTCACAAGCATCGAAGTTGGTCCAATTGGTCCACTCCTTGTGCCTGGTTTGATCAAGCTTCGCCTGCATCTCTGGTGAGGCCTTGGAGTAGTTGATCTCCTTGCTGCCGGCACTCTTCTTCTTGTAGTTGGTGCGCCGGGCCAAGAATCCTCGCAGGCAGGTCGATTGTATCTTCTGGCGGCGGTTCTGCGTAGCATAAAAGGTTCTCGGCGGTGTCCTTGACCGTTGTCTCGAAGATGAACTGGATGTAGGATGTCCATCAAGTCCTTCCAGTGATCTCCACATAGATCGCTGCAGTGGTGTAGGCGTAGTCGTGGTGGTTGGTGTGCCCTCAGTTGTTGCTCTTGTTCGCTTGGAATCCGGTTCGATGTCTGGCTCCTCCACGGATGAATGTCGTGGTAGGTCTCCAAGTTCATTCATGGCCTCTTGAAACTCATCGAACTCGACCTCTTGGTCATCATCAGGTACTAGTCCTGGAGGTTCTTCTGGACCTTCGGCTGGTACAGGAACTGCAGCTACCTCTTCCAGAGTGAGTGGGTCTGCAGGTAGTCCAGGTGGTGGTTCAGGATGTTCATCTCCAGGTGGTGTTGATGTTGCCACCGCGGGTGCTGAAGACATTCCTTGTTCAGGTTCTTCTCCTGGTTCTGATGCTCCTGGAGTTGGGTGATCTTGATGTCCAGCATGATCTCCTCCGGGACGTCCAACATCCAGGTAGGAGTCCTGATTCTCCTCGTCAGACTGATTGGCCATCAGGTCATCGGCGAAGGGGACTTCATCTTCATGGTCCTGTAGGATCTGCCGCTTCCTCTTGCGTGATGGTCGAAGTTCCAGGAGTTGTTTAGCCACAACTTCTCCTTGAAGAGCTGGTCGACATGATTCCTCACTGATGGTGATGGGGACTCCACCATGGATCAACCAAAGGTTGCTGCGGCCTTCTCGTCCAATGACCCGTGCTGGTCCATACCAGCGTCCAACTCTAAAGAAGCATACCAGATCTCCTGGTACATAGGGTCCACGAAGTGGCGTAGATCTCCGCAGTAATGAAGTCCTGATGCGGCGGCTGCTGTCGGCATACTCAAAAGCTTCCTTGGCAGCCTGTCGGATGTTCAGTTGTTGTGCGAACTCGGTCTCTCCTGTGACCATTTCCTCATGAACTCCAAGACGGTTGGGTGCTTGTTCAACTGTCAGACTGGTCACGTCATCTGGCAGCTTGCCCATGACCCATTGAGTTGGGCTGAAACCGGCATGGTTCACGCGACAGTTCTTCACGAAGGTGGATTCCATCACAGCCATTCGCATCCCTGAGATGCCGACGATATGTCGTGCTGCCACCGTGTTCTTGATGATCTCCTTCAGAAGTGAACCTTGACGTTCTGCTCGACCGATTTGATGATGCGCCTCCGTGCCAGCGTAGCGGATGTAGACCCCCTGTGCAGACATGAGAGCAGCAACTTGTCCACGGTTGGCCACTCCTCTATCGACAGTCAGGTACTTTGGAGGGCCAAAATGGGTGAACCAGTGATCTCGGAAGATCTCTGCACACTTTTGACTGCTGGGAGTTCCGCCCTTGTCGGAGACGATCCAAGCGCTGTGGTACAGTGTGCCCATGTCGATGATGGAGAGAACGGTGTACCTGTTGCCAAGTCCATCTCTCACCTCAAAAGCATCAGAGGTGATCTCAAAGTTGAAGGTGTATGGACTCGGTGGTCGGACAACAGGTCGTGGCTGTGGCTTCTTATGGTGTTGACATGTCTCGCATTTGAAGTACTTCACCTTGTTGATGACTTCTGGAGCTGCTCGAGCGACACGGAGCATGCGAGCCATAGCACCAATGCTGGAATGCCCAGTCATTTGATGTAGTCGTCGAAGAGCGACTCGTTGGGCATAAGGTAGGCTAAGCCACTGCTTCTTCCTCACACGGTCTCCTTCTGTAGTTCCAGGTTCTCCTTCGCGATCTTCTTCGCCTTTCAAATCATCTTCTTCAGCTCGGTGTGGTAGCGGAGGATTTGGTGCCAGGTCCTGCTCATCGTAGATCTTGTCCAAGGTGCCCAAGGGGTTGTCCTCGATGACAGCTTCAGCTGGAAATGCCACCTTGGTGATAGTACCTTCAAGATCACAAAGAATCCCTTGCAGAATTCCTTCACAAAAGGGACGTGGCCATTCTTGGGCTCGTTTTGTGCGGTTTGATCCCTCGAGAGCTTGGTGTTGGTGATCTCCAGAGCATAGTTGTGACATGTTCTGCTTGATGCCCAAACTGGCGGTCATCAGTCCAGTAGGCTTTTTGTTGGGCATATCATTATCTCGGTCCTTGAGGCCGTAAGCACATTGGTCACATTTGATCACCTCCACGATCTCGCCCGTCATAGGGTCAGTGATGTGGTCCTGTAGAACTCGAAGAAGAGCAAGCGAGTCCCACATCTTTGACAGCCATGGTTGCTCCAACAACACTTGCCGCCCTTTTGCCACTCGGCTTCGGATCACCTGCGAGATCCACTTTACCACCGGATACCATTCTTTCCTCTGCTCCATGATCTTATACGCAGTCTCTTCAGACTTGCTCATGTTGAGCTCTTGCCACTGGCACCAGGGGCCACAGAGCGGCGACATGGAGATGAGGTACGGGTCGTCCTTCTCGATCTGCTGGTCGATCATGTCCCGGTGTTCCTTCTTCCGCAGGTCGGTGCCGTCATACAAAATGTCGACGGGCTGTGAAACAGGGTATCCCATCTCGGAAGCCATGTGAGACAGGATGGCTGCTCCGGCAAAGATCTCCAGTAGCAGCGTACGGCAGCCTCGAGGCATCAAACGAGGTCTTACGCTTTTGTGTGAGGATCGTAGCAATCCCCACATGTGCTGGTCCCTCTCCTTCACGTCCTGCACATCCTTCTTGAACTGCTTCTTTTGGCCCTTGGTGAAGACGCGCTTGTGCTGATGCATCTCATCCACGGCCATGTGGGTCTCATTGACCAGTTGGATGTCTTCCTCTGGTGGTTCCTCTTGCTCATAGGTCATGTTGTGCTCCTTCTCAAGGTTCTCGGTGTCCTCGAAGTGCTCGGCCACCAGGCCAAGATATCCGGGAATGAGCCGGATTGCCAGAAGTCCATTGCGAGCCACCCAACAAAGATCACTTCCAAGTACGGTGGAGTGTACATTTTGGTGGTTGAGGTCGATCACAAAGCCAAGCTGCTTCTGGCTCTCCACGCTGAGCAAGAGTGGTGCATCGGAGGAGGCAATCTCCAAGGATACCAAAGTTCCTCGGGCAAAATCTCCGTTCTTCATCTCGAAGCTCACCTCGAACTCACGTTTTCCGATCAGCTTCATCTGGCCGCCAATTCCCTTCATGCCAGGTCCAGAGCATGGCTGTAGTGGAGGTTCAGGTGCTCCAGTGGCCTTGAGGTATTGTTTCAACCATTCACTTCCATGACATGTGGCATTGCAGCCAGTGTCCAGGATGGCCACCAAGTTGTCTTCGCTGCCACATTCTTGGTGATGTTGTGCCATGTAGCCATAGTGAGCAGTCTCTGGGATGGCAGCTCCATAACGATCGCGTCCTCCAGCCTGCATGTCCTGGAAGTACTGGGCCAGACGGATCATAGCCTTGGAAGGTTTTCCGGTTTTGACTTCGTCCAAAAGCCAGCGGACATACCCTTGGTCATTCCAAGCTTCATACTGGGTTTGTCCTTTGTAGAGGCCAAAGCTGATGGTGCGACGGCCTTCTTGTTGTAGTGAATGAGCATGTGCTGGCAGAATGGATGGGTCCGGTGTAGGCGGATCGGTCCAAATGGCCTGTGATGTCGGTGTCCTGGTAGGCAATGACGGAGTCTGAGTTCCTGAGCCTGCCGGTTCCGTAGGAGTGTAGTCCTGACCTTCATGTGCTGGTCGGCCGAGGACGATGTTCTCACACATCCGGAGAAGGTCAGCCAATTCGTGATCGGTGAGAGTGAATCCTTCTCCTTGTCCTTCTGACTTGAGGTCCAGGGAGTGGTTGAAGAGTCCACGAACACGAAGAATCTCCTCGGAAGTCATCTTCCGGCTTGAGGTTGTCAGCCGGGTCGTCGAAGAGGTCTCATTGGAGGCCGTTGACGGTGACGATCCCTTGCCGGAACTCTTTCCTCCATTCACAGGGCCGCTGCGGACTTCTCCACATTGAAGACATGTGCGCTTCCAGCGAAAGCCATTTGCGCCATGCCAACTCACTCGATGATGGTTGCATCCTGGAGCCTGGGATGTCTCCGAGGTCATAGACCGAGAATCAGCTGATCCCACAGGGGTGCG